AACGCGGAATGTGATAAACTCGAACCAATGTGGTGTAACATGCTGCAGAAGTTTTCAAAACAGAGTACCTCATACCGAAAACATTAAAGCTTCATATAACTTAAAAGAACATCACAAGCACAGAGATGGATTCTTTTAGGAACACACGCACAACATGTCAAAATATCAAGAATACGAGGACAAATAACAACAACACAAGCCTCGTAAAGATCATTCTCATGTTTAACAGATTCGATTCCGCAATGAAAACAACAACAACAAAAAAAACAGAGGATCGACCAGCAGCAGCATCCAGAACGCCAAAGCAACAAGAATTTCACTTTCGAAACAAAACAAAAAAAAACGAAGAAATAAAACGGAGCGGGGAATTACCTTCTTCGGAGCAGCGATTGGGACGAGAACGAGCAGGGAGCGACGACTTCACCGGAACGCTACTGTTCAAGAGCGACAGACGAGGAAACTCAAGCCAAGGGACGCGACTATACCACTTCTTCCTCTTTTCTACCAGCCTTCCAACTCTTTCGATTTTTTTTTAATCCCTCTATGATGCTCTTCAGTTCTTACAGAAACACAACACACAAAACAAAGGTCTTGCTCTATTTTAAACAAGAGACAGAGATGAGCAAGACTCCCCGAACAAAATCTCTTTCTTAATTTATTTTTTTTTCAACCAAAAACCGTCCCCTGCTGTCCTTCTTCAACAGACGAGAACAAACATGTTTTTTCAAAATCCTCCCTTTAATGTGGCAAAATAGGGAGTTTATAAAGAGAAGCTTCCTCGACAAAACGAGGGTATCCTCGTATTTTCAACCCCAGGTTTGAATTTCAAAATCTCCAACGGATTGAGGGCATGTGGAGGGTCGAGATTAATCGTGGTACTAGGTGGGTGACGTGTCTTCATCTCCCAACGAGCAAGGACGAGTTGTGTCGTCTTGCGCTTTGCAGAGCCGCGCGACAGAGCAACAGGACAGCAGGTGTCCGTTGCTACTTCCCCACCACGCGCGATGAGAGAGACGAGGAAAGAGAGGGTTCGCGTGGGAGAGGTCACGTGAGGTGACGCGGGGGAGGAGAGGGAGAGGGGTTCGTGCGTGAGGTGACGCGGGTGGTTCCCGTTTTGCTGGGTTTTTTTTTTAACGAGGAAAGGGAAAGAAGGAGGGGAGGGGCGCGTGAGGGCTACTGGGATCGTGGGGGAAGAGGGGAAGAAGAAAGGGAAGACGGGTCGGGTAGGAGAGCTGGATTCGGGGCGGGTCAAAGGGATGTGGGTTAAATTAAAGGAGGTTGGGCCTGGGAATTGGGTTTGTTCTTTTTAAAAGCTGAAGTGGGCTGGAATAGGGAGGATTGGGCCTCAGAATTGGGTTGGTAAGTTGGGAGAAGACCCAAAATGGTTCTAAAGAAAAAGAGTTAAGTTTAATGAATGGTCAATTAATTTAAAGTAAGACGAATTTGGCGTAAATTTATTAACGAGCTTACTTACCTAGTAATAAAATTTTTAAAATAGTGACTCATGATTTTAAACTAAGATGGAATGATTATCAAAATCGAAATATTTTGGGATGATTTTCGAATATACACAAGATATACCGTCTATATACACAACTATGTAAACATTATATCGTTATATTTTTGCAAAATTATAAAACTAATTAATTTAAATAATTTGAAAAATTTACGAAGCTCGATAATTAATTTACACCGACGCGGGTCAAAATTGGGTGTCAACAATTTGTTGTCCAAAGTAAATGATAAAATTTTGTATGGTAATAAATCATTTCATTAAAGATAATATAAATATTTTATAGTTTAATTATTACATAATATAAAAATATATATATATTTTTTATTGAGACAGACTAAAAAAAGAAAGTAAACAAATTGAGACAGAGAGTCAAACCGGAATCACTAATGAACTAATCGTGCTTGAATGTTAGAATCTCTAATTGGATAAAAAGAAAAAAAAAAGAAAAAGAGTAAACGCGGTCAAATCAGTGTTCGGTTTGTATAATTTCAAAGAAATTTCAATGGTTCCATCAAAATTTTGATTGGTTTTGCTACAAAATCGCTAATTTTTTCGTCTCCTGATTACACAATCATCATTTTTTTCTATTTTTTCAGGTATGTTATACACTATACTCTTCTATTTCTTCATTTTTTTTGTAAAATATATTTTTTCCATCGCATTTGACTTTGAATTATCTCTCCTATCCGAATGCTCAGAAATTCTCTGTTCTTGCTGAGTTTCTCGGCTTGGGCGGTGAATTTCTCAGGTTTGTAAATTTTTTTGAAATTTTTTAGTTTGATTTATTTTGAATCTGATTGAAATTGTGAGTTTTTTTTTTTGATGTAGAGATATTGCGGTTTGGGTATAAAAATGGGTGAGCATTTGGTTGTGAAAGATGAGGACCGGGTCCGGGTTGGGAATACAGATGCATTATCATCATCAGGGGAACAGATTGAAAATGGGAAGAAGGCAACGGAAGTAGTGGAAGGAATTGGAGCTTCGTCTTCGAATTCGAAGACGATGAAGGAAAAGGAATTGGCTGTTGAGGAAGAAGAAGAAGGGAATGAGGAGGTGCCGTTAATTGGGGGTGCAGAGTGCCGTATTTGTCAAGATGAAGATTCTTTGAATAATTTGGAGAGTCCTTGTGCTTGTTGTGGAAGTCTCAAGGTGAAATTTTCTGTTTTCACCTTACTTTTTTTAGCTTTGTTGTTAGCAAACTTAATCATTGGCGAAATAGATTTTTGACCTAACTCAAACCTTAAAGCGATGAGGTAAGATGATCATTTTTTAATCGCGCAATCAATGCCTAGGCAAAACATGATATGGGGGGGGGGGGGAGACAACATTGGATAAACCAAGAATTGAAATGAGTTTGACTCTGATACCAGCTAAAGAAATGGACTTTGAATTTAACTTAACCTGAGAGCTAGCTAATGAGATGAGGATTTCCCAAGAACGTGACCCCACATTCTAGATCCCGCAAATGATGTGGGAAAATTTTAACACACACATCTTACAGTTTAGGGGTTTTGTGAGCTTATAAGGTAGCTATATTTTCCTTATTGTTCGTATCTGATCTAAATAAATCAACCATGTGTTAGTGTTGTACTAGTTAGTGTCCATTATATGAATCCTCTAAATTCATTTTGCTCATCTAGTGTCTAAAAGGATCATCATAATAATACATCTATTAGGCTGACTTTCAATAGCCGACCGCTACTCTCCTCCTTTATAGCTTGAGATCAGTTGTATTTTCAGAAGCTAACATAGTCAGAGTTCCAGATTTGCTCCAAAATTAAAAATATTTATGTGCTCAAATTGTACTAGGTTGTATCCGAATATTTACACTTCTTAATTATAGACACTTGAGATAAGTGGAAGTTAATTGTTGTTTTATTCATGGTCAGTGAATTCGACCTCTCCCTTGTCAAACATCACGCAAACTTTGGCTCTGATGCTTAGTGTATATGAAGAGAAAATCCCTCTGACATGTTCACTTGAATTTCTTTGACCATTCAATTAGTTGATATATTTTCCCCCTAATTTGATCATATCTTGACTTCCTTAAAATTTTGCCGTAGAAGTCAGTTTTAATGTTTGTTGCATTAAGATCTTTCTCCTGGACATGTCAACAATCAATTGTTAACCCTCCGATATCCGATATCTTATCTACACCTTCCGAATATTGCCCCTATATAGTTGCACAACACTTGGTGTTGCTGTTCTCATTTTATTTTACTTATAAACTATGTGATCTCTATACTTGTATTTCAAGAGGTTTTGCTCTACATCCTGTTTACAGTTTACCTCACTTTCTTTCTTCAATTTGCTTTTTACTTTTAGTTGGAATAGTAAATTTGTACAAGTACTGATGGTTTTAGTGGAAACGATTGATCTGCAGTATGCACATCGAAAGTGTGTTCAACACTGGTGCAACGAGAAGGGTGATATTACTTGTGAGATTTGCCATCAGGTATGTTTGTGTGTTGTTTTGCACCGTATCTTGCATGTTGTGAGATTGGTAAGAGGACTTTTCTATTAAATAAGCAACTTCTCATGTCATGTCAAAAGGAAAAAAAGCATCCTCCAACAAAAAGTGCAATATCATATTTTCTTGTTTGTGAAGCTGTCCGTCTCTTTCATCTGTTATGGAAAAAAGGATCCTTTTTACTTTAAAGCACATGGAACTGAATCATAGTAGTCAATTTATATATGCTTCATTTTTGTGATATGAGCATACATGTCAATGAGGATGTTTCTTGGCAAAGTACTTCAGATGGCACTAGAATTTTAGTATTGTAAATGTTTTATTTTTCTAAAATATCAACATTATAACTATAATTTGATGTATTACATATGCATGGATAGAATCAGTACTTCGTTTTATCAGACAATGTTTTGGCTATCTATCTGTCTTTTTGGAGAACTTGGGATTGAGCGATTCTTTTGAATTCTAGCATATTCTATTGGCCATCTACTTTATTTATATAATAAATTTCCATTTTCATTCTCAAATGCAGCAATACCAGCCTGGTTACACTGCCCCTCCTCGAGCTCGGTCAGAGGATACTATTATAGATATTGGGTGAGTTTAACTTTTCTTTAGTGCAGGTTTCTTTGTTAGGTATGTCTTAAATTTTCCTTTTTCAAGTAGCTTTTCAGTAGCATTGTTAAAGGCATGCTTGAGTAGCTCACAACACCGGCTGAACTCTCTGCTAGGATATGCGTGTTCTACTGAGGCACCAAGATGGTGAAGCATTCACTTTAGAAAATTCCAACAAACCAACAGTTATTCTTCTTAATTTGGCTACTTTAGGAGAGTCATAGATGGTATCTTGAAGAGGGCAACTCTAGACAATAAGTATAACGATTAAATCAATGTAGTAATTGTTAAGAGAACAATACAAAAAGAAAAAATATGTAATATGTGATACCAATGAGAGTCGTCAGGGCATTAAGGAGGAGGATCCTACAGATGAATATGCTCGTATTTAGGAACAGAAAATTGTTATAAGGGAACTACTGATTGAATCTGCATCTGCATATTTGGGGTGGTTTATGAACTTGATTGACCTGCCTACTTTCCTTTTTTTTTCCCACTAATAAAAATATTTCCTATTCCTCTGTTGATATAATTGTTATTTGTCCATACATATACATGTTGGTGTGTGCATGTGTGTGTATATTAATACATAAAAACAACTTTTTCTTGGGCTAGCTCATTCTAATGGCAGTTAAAGATGAAGTTCCAGATGTGCTTTGCCTTTGACAATAATGTGTGCAGTCCATTGTGTCATATTATTACCCACTGATTCTTTTTCCAAATATTAGTTAAGTGGCGTTGGTCACAAGATTCAATATTTCTCCGCAGTTCATTAGCTCTTTGGGTTGCTTAATTGTTTTGCAGGGGAGGATGGCAAATTGCTGGCACACCTCTGGAATTACACGATCCTCGCCTTTTGGCAATTAGAGAGGCTGAACGCCAACTTTTGGAAGCTGAATATGATGATTATAATGCTACAAATGCAAGTGGTGTTGCATTCTGCCGTTCTGCTGCTCTAATTGTAAGCATTTACTGCTATTTATCCCAGAAGAAATCTAGAATTATTAGTAGACGTTTGGGTATGGATTTGGTTGAAACTTGAAAAAAAGTATTTTTGAAGATGAAAAATGGTATTTGGAAGTTGAAATTGTGTTTGAACATGCATGTCACTTGAAAAGCATTGAAGTTTGTGAGTGGAAAATGTTCTTACTTGAAAAACTCATCTTCATAAACGAACCAATTCAATTGAATATTTATTTTTTGATTCTTTAATCTGTTAGAAAAAGATATAATCAAAAAGTCATTCCAATATATAACCAAACAATGCTTTGAAAATAATATTGGAAAAAAAGAAAAAATTATGTCCAAACAGACCCTATAGAAACACGTAAAGGTAACTGTCCTCTCTGGCCCTAAGCCTCTAGCACTGCATTTCTGTCATTGCTTCTTGCTTGATTCACCTTGTAGGAGTGGGTTAGATGCTTCCAAAATTTTGAGATTTGTCTAACATATATGTTGCCTCTTCCACTGTCCTTATTCATTTACCTCAAGATTTTCTTTATCCTCTACGTTTCAATTGGCTGTGAAGAAAATATGAAGAGAAATAGTATCGTATATTTCCATGATATAGATGATAATGTATATACCATATGTCCGAGCTGATGTCTATACACAGGCACATATGCATGTATATATACAAATTTGCGCTTAATTCTGATGATCTACATACAATTGTGGCAGTTAATGGCTTTTCTGCTCTTGCGACATGCATTACCTGTAGCAGATGCAGATGGAGATGACGAAGATCCCTCTGCTTTCTTCTCGGTAATTTTTAATATATGTTATGCTTTATCTACCTCTATCTGTTTCTCGTAAAAGGATGTATTATTCTGTTTCTCGTAAAAGGATTTATTATTACTGCTTGAATATAACTCCCATAAATGTATGGTATGCAGCTTTTCTTGCTTCGGTTAATTGGCTTTCTTTTACCTTGCTACATCATGGTCTGGGCCATCAGCATTTTGCAGCAGCGCAGGCAAAGAGAGGTTGGTGTTAGTTTTGCTGTTTGAACGATTTTCCTCAACATTTTGCCATGATGAATCAGTCGAATACATTGAAACATGCGCCATTTTTGGTTATATAATTAAATGTAAAGCTTGTTTTCATGGTTTGGTGAAAGCAGGAAGCTGCAGCATTAGCAACAGCACAATTTGCATTTGTGGTACAATCTGGGCAGCCAACAGGTGTACAGTTTGCCATGGCATCAGCTACACCATCTGTTCCTGCATCAACGGACTCTTCGTCTGTGCCTGCACCAATGGATCGGGTTTAATATTGTCACATGCGAATATTGGTTCCTGTCATGAAAGCTTCCAGCTGCAACGAGCCTCGTTTATTAAACGTAGATGCTGCGTCGTTTTGTAAGTAGTATTGTGGATATAATAGCAGCATCTCATGAACCAACAATTTTACCAAGCTGTATATTAAAATTCTTTTGATCTTGGTATGTATGTATGACATTTAGTAACCATTTTTCACATCTGGTTGAGACCAGTTTTGTATAATGTCTTGTAGAAACCTTCATTTTTTTTTATTTTGCATTTCAGTTGGCTAAATTTATTTTACTCTATTGTTAAATATAGATAATATGTATAAAGATTATGCCAAAAGATTTTGGTAGCTTTCGCTTTTAAATTATCCAGGAAGACAATTACATATGAACATTCATGTAAAAGATATGAATCAAAAACATATGCAATTTCTATTTATTTTTTTTAAGTATTGACTATATTCATAAATTTATTTGAGTATCAGTGGCAAGGGTATTTTTAAACTACTCTTAGTAATAATGATAAGGTATTTAGGTGATGCAAGATAAATTTTTAAAAAAGGAAAAACTATTTAATTCTATAAAATTCCTATTATATTTACTAATTTGCTCTGTAGTTTGACGTGTATGATTTAATATCAAATTTCAAATCATATAGAAGAGAGGAAAGAGTTGGATATATGCGAATTCATTTGAGTATTGTTTATTTAGAACAAATTACGTTTAATTTTGACCTCATGTATTCGAGATACATGTATCTAAAGTTCAAAATCTAATAAGATTTGTAAAGCTTCAAATACACATATTCATAATCTAAAATCTAGTAAGATTCGTGATATTAGAAATTATCATAAATTTAAGTAATAACTCACGAATTCGTGAAATTTATGTAAGTTATCCAAAAATGAATTCAATAGTTGGAGCTTTGGCCCTCTTTGTTGCTACTTTTAGTAATAGGGAGTGGCAAAATCAAACTCAACCTATCCAACCTGCTCAACCCGATTAAGTTTGAGTTGATTATTAATTCGTCCATTTATTAACTCAACTCATTTTAACTCATTAAAAATTGGGTTGATGTGTATCCGAATTGGTTCATGATAAATCTTGTTAAAATATTTTTAAAAATTTATAATTTTATTAAGTATTAAAATAGTTTAAAGAACAAATAAAACAATCAAACTTAAAAATAATTAGACTGAGTTGAATCTTGACCCATTATATAACCAGTTATCTAATCTATTTTAATCCAAACAAATTTAAAATAATTAAATCTTAATCCAATTATTATCTTAACCCATTATAATCCGTCCAAATCATTGTGAATTTAGGTCCAATTTCCCTTGTAATGTAGTGATAATGCCCATACTCTCAAATTTGCTATTATGAGTCAAAGGAATTTCCAACTAAAAATATTTATCCAAAATCAACAAAACATAAATTATCTATTTCAAATATTGATTATCAATATATAGATATTTACGCTAAATTAATGAATAAATATTTACTCTTTTGGCTGCTTATTAGGCGGATTAGATAGATAATTATGCTTGATAGTTGACAATTTGACTTATTGAATATCAAATTTTAAATATATTAATCCATTAGCTAATTAGATTTCACGTTTTTTAAGAAACTAAGTAAGTTTATCATTGTATTCAAATTTAGTGTTTTTACGAGTCAAAGTTTTTAATAAGTGACTTAATTTATTTTGATTAATTAATTTATCAATGAACTTGGATTAATTGTTTAATTTTAATATGTTGATCAAATAAGGTAAAATGAAAATAATACTTCATTTATGAATTGATTTATGAAATGACAAATATTAAAGAACAATATATCAGTGCATACTCTCTTCTTTCACTTTCACTCACCATTATATAGATATTCAATCAAACAAAATTATTATTTTGACTTACTTAAACTCATAATTCTATAATTAATAATCACAACAAAAAATATATAGAACTCTTAATTTTGAAAATACTTGCTCGTTAACCTTTAATTCAATAATTGAATATCAATAAGTCAATTTTATAATTAGCTTACCAGTTACGATTTGATTTTGCTAAAAACCTCCACTACCCCCAGCCCCCACCACCACAGAAACAAAAACAAAACGAAAAAAACTGAGAATTGTAAAGAGAGACACAGAGAGTTGTAAATTTGATGTATATGCTTGTAGATATCCTTGAAAAAAATTAAAAAAATTAGGGGTTTTGCAGTGTTTCTGTTCTTGATTTAATTTGAAAGGCATATCTGAGTTGTGGACTTACAAAGCAAAAATAAAGCAGGAAAGCCAGTAAAAGGAAGTATTGATTTTTTTTTTCATGCCACTGGTATGCTGATTCAACTCTCTATAGCTAATGTTTCATTCAATTATTTGAATTCTCAATTATAAAGCTCCAATCTTTATTGTCTTTTTGATTTGATTGCTTCATTTTTCAAGTGAGACTGCACTTTTAAGCCAATTTACTGTATAAAGTTCAAATCTTTTCATATAGGGTTATAGTTAAAAGACCTATTTTCTTGGGTCTGCTCTATGTATCAGGTCTTGTTTTTTCAAGTTTTCTGTTAAAGACCTATTTTCTTGGGTCTGCTCTATGTGTATCAGGTCTTGTTTTTTTCAAGTTTCTGTTGTGGACTGTAAAGCAAAATAAAGTAGAGTTGGAAGGTCATTAAGAAAGTGTTGGAAAAAATTTATGCCATTTGTATGGTGATTTAACCCTCTATAGCTGATCTTTCATTTGAGTTCTTGAATTTAAAGTTCCTAGCTTTCTTGTCAGTTATATTTGATTGGTTTATTTTTTCAAGTGAATTTTTTACTTTCCAAATCCATTTACAGTATAAAGTTCAAATCTTTATGGGGTCTACTGATAGTTTCCTAAGTGTAGTTAAAGACCCATTTTCTTGGGTCTTCTCTATGTATCAGTTCTTGGCTAAAAGTTTCTGTTGTGGACTGTAAAGCAAAATAGAGCACAGTTGGAAGGTCATTAAGAAAGTGTGTGTGAGGTGGGGAGTTTTTTGGGGGGGGGGGGGATTTCATGCTATTGGTATGCTGATTCAACCCTATATAGCTGATCTTTCATTTATTCATTGGGGTTTTTGATTATAAAGTTCTATCTTTCTTGTCAATTTGATTGATTCATTTGTCAAGTGAAACTTTCACTTTCTAGACCCATTAATTGTGTAAAGTTCAAATCTTTTCTTATGTTGTATCATTTTAACTTCTTAGGTGAAGTTAAAGTGTAATAAACTTGCAGTTTTTAGCATTTTATCAATTTTTTGTTTCATGTTTCTGTTCTCTCTCTTTTTGTTCTGTAGCTTTTAGTGGTGGTCTATTAAAGGCACTGTTATTTGTTAAAATACCCGCTTACTGTTTAGGAAACTAAAAAGATAATGTATTTAAAAGCTTGATTTATGGGTTGGTTTGTTAAACTTTTGTGTATTCCAACTGGACAACAAGTACTCCAACCATTCCAATTTATGTGGCACCATTTGACCGGACACAAAGTTTATGTAATAATTATTCTTACTTGTTCATTTGTATGTCTGTAAATTATTTCGTTATGGGGAAAATGATCATTTTTAAGTTAAAATTGTTTCCAATTATGGAAATGTGGTCATCAAAAATTGTTTCCAATTATAGAAATGTGACATTCTTTTTAGAATGAACTGAAAAGGAAAAAGTGTCACATAAATTGCGAGGGAGGGAGTAAAAATTTGATTTTGATCCTAGTACACTGCTAGGTGTTTAAGATTAAATGGTGACCTCCTGCTACCTTAATTTGCAGTTATTGGAGTATCAGGGAGAAGAAGGAGCTTTATCTGTTTTTTCTTTCGTAGCTTTAATTGACTTCTGCTAATTTCTAGAATCTTGTACACTAAAAAGCATTCGGTACCAAAAGCTATGATCTTTTGGGACCTCAATGAGCAAATTGTTGTAGAACTATGCTCTGATCTTGCTATACTTCTGGTACATTTAAAAAAACATGTGTATCGGTATTCAGCTTCCTTCGCTTTCCTAACTCAATGCTAAAATCATTTCAGGACAGCAATGGCAAACAAAAGCATGGGGGACAATAGGACCAGGACTTCTGTGTCAATATTTATTGTAGCTGGTCTCTGTTTCTTCTTCTATTTGCTTGGATCATGGCAGAGAAGTGGCGTCGGGAAGGGAGATAGTATAGCTTTGGCAGTCACCAGGAGTGGTGAGAACTGCAATATCCTACCAAATCTCAATTTTGAGACTCGTCATGGTGGCCAAGCAGGTAGTATTGATGATTCAGGAACGGAAGTCAAAAAATTTAAGCCATGCCGTCCTCGTTACACTGATCATACACCATGTCAAGATCAAAAGCGTGCTATGCACCTCCCAAGGGAAAATATGATCTATCGAGAAAGGCATTGTCCGCCTCCAGAAAAGAAGTTGAATTGCCTTATTCCAGCACCTAAGGGGTATGTCGCCCCATTTCCATGGCCAAAGAGTCGGGATTACGTTCCATATGTGAATGCCCCCTATAAGAGCTTGACAGTCGAGAAGGCCATTCAGAACTGGATTCAGTATGAAGGTAATGTGTTTAGGTTCCCTGGAGGAGGGACACAGTTTCCTCAAGGAGCAGATAAATATATTGATCAGCTTGCTTCTGTAATCCCAATTCAAAATGGAACTGTTCGGACTGCTCTGGACACTGGTTGCGGGGTATGATTTGTACAGTGAAAACCTTTCTTATAGCAAAAGATATCCGTGTCTCAGTTTGTTTACCTACTTGGAGAATACTTCTTGTTGTTGTGTTGGCTTTTTTGACTAACAATGTTTCATGATACCAGGTTGCAAGTTGGGGTGCTTATCTTTGGAAAAGGAATGTCATCGCAATGTCATTTGCTCCACGAGACTCACATGAAGCTCAAGTTCAGTTTGCTCTTGAAAGGGGTGTACCTGCTGTAATTGGCGTCCTAGGAACAGTCAAAATGCCATATCCATCTAGGGCCTTTGATATGGCTCATTGTTCTCGCTGTCTAATCCCATGGGGAGCTGCTGGTATAAATCTTGTGTGGTAGTAAGAATACCTTCTTGATGACGAATTGTAATTTCGAAAAAAGTGTGACCTTTTAAAATTTTTGAAGACATTTGGTTTTAACTTCTTCTTTTACTTGTTTTTTCTTTATGGTTTATTCTTAGCCTTTTTGGTAGCTGTTCTTTTGTTGTATATCATAGTCTTTCTTCATGCAGATGGAATCCTCATGATGGAAGTTGATAGAGTTCTTCGACCTGGTGGCTACTGGGTGCTTTCTGGCCCTCCGATCAATTG